TCCTTAGGACTCACATGGCAGAAGGAGAGACCTAACTACTATAAATTGTCCTCTGCCATCCACATGTATGCCCTGGTATACTTCCCGCCCCCTCCTCCCATTTTATAAAGTAATGCATTGTTAATTGGAGAATTGAAGATGGTAAATGGGAGGTTTTTCCTGAAAACTTCACTTAGAGGGCATGATTTGCCTTATTGCCCATGTACCAAAACAAGTTTGTTTGATTGGCTCCCCCTACCCTCCTACAGAATATAACTGGGTATGCAACTGAATAGAAACTGTCCATGTTTAATTGCTGTCAGGGGAAGAGAAACTTTCTATTATTTGGAAGAGGGTGCATGTACAACTTGATAAAGGTGTGAGTCCTGGGTTACCTACAGGTTGCTCGGTGCATTGTTAGGAGAAGGCTGTGTTCATGGCCCATACCAAGGAGAGCCATTCCCCATGCTTGTATTTATTGATGTGAGTTGACCTTTAATCATTTCACTAGGTGTTTGGTAGGGTCTCATAAGGAAGCTTTAATTATTGACATTTTTTACATTTTTCTTTTATTAGTCATCCTATTTCCTTCTGGCTTTTTAGAGTCTTTAAATTTATGTATGTTATATTTTGAATTTTTCGGGAGTTTGATTTTCTGAACATTTCTTTTTAAAATTTATGTATTTATTTGTTTGCTTATTTTAATGGCATAGCTAGGTATATAGTATTCGTATAAGTCTGTAGGCTGAGGTAGGGAGAATATTCCAAATTGGAGGTTAGCTTCAGATACTGCTTAGGGTTTCTGTTGCTGTGAAGAGATACCATGACCAAGGCAACTCTTATAAAAGAAAATATTTCATTGAGCTGTCTTACAATTCAGAGGTTCAGTCCATTATCATCATGGAGGACATGGCAGCGTGCAGGTAGACATGGTGCCGGAGAAGGAGCTGGGAGTTCTTACAAACTGAAGTGGTCTTGATTACTGGGCATAGCTTGAGCATAGGAGACCTCAAAGCTCACCCCTACAGTGTCACACTTCCTCCAACTAGTCCACATCTACTATAGCAAAGCCATTCTCTTTGGGGGCCATTTTCTTTCCAACTACCATATTCCACTCTGGCCCCAAAGGCTTGTAGCAATATCATAATGCAAACATGCATTCACTTCAACTTCAAATGTCCCCAATAGTCGAAAGCAGTCTCAAACTCATTTAAAAGCCTAAAGTTCAAAGTCTTTTCTGAGATTCATGTAATCTCTTAACTGCAATTCCATGTAAAATCAAAAATCAGATCACTTGCTTCCAACATATAATGGCACAGGATATGCATTACCATTCCAAAAGGTAGGGAAGAGAGTACAGCGAGGAAATATTAGACCAAAGCAAGACAGAAAATTAGCTGGGCAAACCCTAAACTCTACATCTCCATGTCTGATACCAAAGTGCTCTTTAGAGGTTTAGTCCATTATTATTGTGGCAGGTCATGGCAGCATGCAGACAGACAATGGTGCTTGAGACAGAGCTGAGAGTTCTACATCTTGATTCACAGACAGCAGGATGTGAACTGACTGGCTGGGCATAGCTTGAGCATAGGAGACCTCAAAGCCCACCCCCACAGCGACACACTTCCTCTAACAAGTCCATATCTCCTATGGCCCTATGGGGCCATTTTCTTTCAAACCACCACAGATATAAGTAAGACTTTGTCTCTAAAGCCAACAACAACAACAACAACAAAAACAAGCAGAAAAATAGCATATTTTCTTATTTGAGTGTTACCCTAGCCCCCACCTCCACCTCTTCAATAATGTTCAAGTTGGGACTTTCAGTTTTGAAACTTGATTTGTTCCCACATTTGCCTCAGTGTGTTTGCTCCAAACTTCTCTTCACCTCTTTCTGATTGCTTTTTAAAAAGATTTATTTCTTATTTATGTATATGTGCCCGTGTTTGTTAACATGCACGGTGTGTGCAGATGCCCTTGGAGGCTAGTAAAGGGCATGGGATCCCCTGGAGCTGGACTTACAGGTGGTTGTGAGCCACCTAGTGTGGGTGCAGGGAACTGATCATGGGTCTTCTGCAAGAGCAGGAAACTCTCCTAACTGATGAGGCAACTCTCCAGCCCCTTTTTGTTTTTGCTGCCATGGTCTCTTGAGTACTGGGGTCATAGGTATGTGCTAGCATACCCAAATCCCAAGTTTTCTTCCTTCTTGGTTCTCTGTTTTTCGTAGTGGAGACTTTTGTTGGGTCTGATAGTCCTCTGCTCATATTTAAGATTAGGACTTACTGAACACTATGGACTAATGGTAGGCATCTTAGTTACCTTTCTATTGCTGTGACAAATTACCAGACTAAGGCTGTATATACATAAAAACACTTAATTTGGCTTATGGTTTCAGAGGATTAGAGAACATGATGGCAGAGCATAGCCAAGATGGTAGGAATGGCTGGGAGCTCACATTTTGATTCATAAGCAAGAAACAGAGAGGTAACTCAGTATGGCACTTTGAAATCTCAAAGCAGGGGGTGGGGGTGGGGAGGAGTTTCCCAATATACTCCCTCCAGCAAGGACACCCCCCACACACACACACACACATCCTAGTCCTGCCCAGATTGCTACCGACTGGAGTCCTAGTAAACATATAAGCCTATGAAAGCCATTGTAATGTAAAATGCTGTGGTAAGGCCATTTCATTGGAACCCCTGAGGTCTCTGTGGTAAGGCCTTTTGGATTATGGAATGAGGTCATCTAGTCTATTTAAGACATGGTTCCTTGGCTGTGTGGTAGTGGCACATGCCTACCCCATCAGCCATCAGCCCAGCTTCTGCCCTTTACCAACCGTGGAGAGGACTTAAAGGCTGACTCCGTCCATCTGAAGAGTTTAACAGAGGGTCCAGAGGCTGATGGAAGCCAGTGCAGAACACTGCCCTGAAAGAAGGAAATAAACTTCCAGTCTGTATCCATAGCAACTGTTGAGGCTTCCAGCTCTATTCCCTCCTCAGCAATCAGAGTATAAGAAACCAAGTCTCTCTCTCTCTTTCTAAAAATTTATTTCTATTTTATGTGCATTGGTGTTTTGCCTGCATCTGTGTCCATATGAGAGTGCTGGGTCCCCTAGGATTAGAGTTCAGAGAGTCGTGAGCTGCCAGGTGGGTGCTGGGAATTGAATCTCAGGTCCTCTGAGCCATCTTAACAACCCAGAGACCAAGTATCTTATTCAGAGTCTCTGTGTAGTCAAGGCTGGCTTTGAACTTCTCATCCTTCAACCTCCACCTCTGGGGTGCTGGGATTACAGGTGTGTAGCTATAGATTTTGCATTTCCAATTGGATCCCAGCCTTTATTTGATTGAGCTGTCTAAAGCTCTTGACCCATTGAAAGATTTAGAAGGTTTGATATACTTGTCTTTAGTTCATCATCCTGCTAAGAATTTTCAAAATTGTGTTGTAAAAACACATACACATACAGAAAACCATATAAAACAAATATATAGCACAATGAACTATGAAACAAATACTTGCTAAGCTAATTTTAATGATTAGAACTACCATTGAGATATCAAAATCCATGGAAAAATGTAATTAAAACCAGATGTTGTACAGGCAGGCAGTAGTGGCACATCCCTTTAATCCCAGCACTCCAAAGGCAGGGGCAGGTGGATCTCTGGGTTCGAGGCCAGCCTGGTCCACAGAGTGAGTTCCAGGACAGCCAGGGATACACAGAGAAACCCTGCCTTGGAAAAACAGAAAACAAACACAACAGATGTTGTGGTGCATGCCCATAATCTCAGTACTTGAGAGGCGAAGGCAGAAGAATCAGAAGTTCAAGGCCAGCTTTAACTACATAGAGTTCAAAGCCAACCTGGGCTACGTGAATGAGACCATGTTTGTTTTGTTTTGTTTTTTAAAGACATATACACATATGTTAAAAAAATAAATAAAAAAGGGTGAGACTTCAAAAAAGCATTTCATCTATCTGTCTATATATGCGTCCATCCACCCATTTGTGGGTGCTAAGTGTGAAACCTGGGCCTGGTGTGACAGGTGAACATTCTACCAGTGAGTCCCCCAGCCCTCTGAAGTATTTTAAGTATCAGGAAGAGATAGGGTAGTGCTTTGATGAATGAATGGCAATGGCAATGGCAATGTTTAAACATGACTGCAGTTTCCAGCTTACATGTAAGGATCAGCGACATGGCATCTGAATGTACATCATGTGTTGTGCCTGGACATCCATGTGGAGTCCATCACGGGTACCCAAGACAGAAATGTTATGGCTTTGACTTTTCTATCATATCCTGGGGGTTCTGGGGTACATTTTACTGTTTTTTTTTTTTTTTTTTTGATACTGCTTGTTACAACATTAGGTTTTACAGTAATTTAAAGCATCAGAGAGTTTCTGGGTTATTATAGCTTGAGAGTAATGGTTCCCAAGCCCGACAGAGTTATAATAAGCACAGCTTGTACAGTTTCCTGTCTCTAACTTCCATTTCTGAATTAGGAAGTATTGCATTTACCATTTGGTAGGGTTTCACACTAAGTTCGGTTTTTTTTTAATCATTTGGGGAAAAAATGGTGTCTGATGCAGAGGGAGGGAGAGAGACTGTCTCTGATTGCAACATTTAAAAGTGAAACATTGAAAATGAATGCAAGCTCTTAATTCAGGAAGTTCTCAAGGATGGCAAGCAAGTAAATCATTGTGCATTGTAGCAGCTGGAAGAAAGCACTGGAACCACTGTATCCTTTGTTTTCAGTGATGGAATCTTTCCAAGTAAAATCCGAATCTCCCCTCCTCTCCCTCCCACTTGGTTATTGCCAGCTCTGCTCCATTCTCTTCCCCAAGGAATACCATGTATCACATCTGTCAGAGAACCTCCCAGCACAAATCAGAAGCTTGGTTGTGAATTCAGAGCTGCACATTGCTTCTCTCTGTAGAAAGGACATGCCAGGGAAGTCCATCCTTTGCAGATCGTGTGCTTGGGATATGCTCCAACCATTTTAATGCTGTTTCTCTCTTTTCTCTGCAGGAATTGCAGTTGGAACATGCAAGGCAAGCCTTTGCACTCAAAGACAAAAACAAAAGTGGCATGATCTCAGGTCTGGATTTCAGTGATGTTATGGTCACCATTCGGTCCCACATGCTCACTCCTTTTGTGGAGGAGAACTTAGTCTCAGTAAGTAAGAAGACAGGCTTTCACTTTCCATTTCCCCGGGCTATTTTTGAACCTCTGGGTCCTGGAATACCTTGTGTCCACATGGCTCTTAACTAACCAGGTTTTGTTCGTGTGTGTGTGTGTGTGTGTGTGTGTGTGTGTGTGTGTGTGTGTGTGTGTGTTGAGTGGTTTTTTTTCTCAGTTTCTAGCTTCATCCAGAGCTACTATCTTGATCTCATGTATTTCCAAATTGTTTATTCCCATTTCAGTCTCCAGTCCAAGGGACACAAACAAGAGTTAGTAAACAAGAGACCATGATCGCTGTATTTCAGTGTATTTTTGCCTTCATCTTGGCTTCTAATACCTCCCACCCCAAGCTCCGGCCGTCTAGTTAGGACACTTATTTCTCTTTGTGCTAGAGGGATGGTCACTGGCTCATGTGAGAAGGCGTGGAGGAAACAAGGGGCCACCGGCCTCTGGAGTCATTATGCTCTGCCCCTTCACCTGTGCATTCAGAGTGTGTGTCCCAGACACGGGTCTTTTGTTCTGTCAAAGTTCACATCTCTCTCAGATAATCATGGGGACCCACAGCAAATTCATGTCATCCACTTCCTTACCCAGGGGTGAAACTCTCCCCACTCACCTGCTTCCTGGTCCACACACTGTATTGTGTGTACGTTTCTGATTACTGCTTGCTTGGGATGGAGGAAAGCCAGTGGGTACTTTTGTTGTTTCAGCTGAAGATCATTATCCCTGACTTAGACTGGGGTAGGAAAGATCAACTCCTGGTGTTTCTCTTCAGTGAATTTGAATGTAGCGCATGTCACTCTCCCTCCACACGTCACCTCCCTGACGCCCGCCCTCCCCAGTTCTGTACCTTCACCTCATACCCCAACCAGAGATGAAAGGAAGGTCAGAAAAGAATGGGGAGGGAAGGAGAGAAGAAAGGAAGAAAATCCAGAGGGAAGGATTCATTCATCGAAGTTAGGGTGCAGGGATCCATTTTGTATTTCCAACTTGGTTACATGACCATTGCCTCAGTTTATCAAAATACAGTCACAGTCCTCAGAGGAAAACTCTAAGGGATCTGAATCCTGCTGGTATCCAGATTTTGACACTAGTAAAAATAAAATCTCTATGGCGTGGGTGTAGAGACATTTGCCCATTGTCACAGACACTGTAGAAGGTGATGGAGTTATATGTCAAAGAGAAACCAGATCATTGCACTACTTACAATAGAGTCGTGTCCCCCCCCCCAGCCCCTTGACTGGGGTTGTTACCTTGCTATTTCTATTAGTATTTCTTTGAGTTTTAAATAGTGACAATTTTTGATTCCCCTCTGCCTTTTAACTTTGAGGTTAACTTTTGGAAACAACAAACAAAAAACAACACAAAATCCTTCTCTTTTGAGACTATACTTAGATGATGGGCAAAGGAGGGGCTTCTCAGCCTTCACAGATGATGAAGGCCACTTATCTGCTACCCAGTGTGAGTGAGCCCTGTGGGCTAGAAGCAGTGAGGAAGTAACTTAATAGTGAGCCCTTGCCAAACCCCCTGTACATTTGGGGAGCGTTTGGGAGCTGTATTTTGCACAATGCAGGTCCAGAGAGCCACAAAAACTAGGTATCTTTTGTTGTTGTTGTTTTCTGGGATCGGGTAGCCCTGGTTGTCCTGGAACTCGATCTGTAGACCAGGCTGGCCTTGAACCCTCTGCCTCCTGGGTGCTGGGGCTAAAGTTGAGCATCACCACCACCTGGCACAAACTAGGTATGTTAAATATAACAATAGTATTTTAAAAATTGAGAAAAGTTGATGCAATAAAATGGACTTAGGGCTGGAGAGGTGAGACAGCTTAGTGGTTAAGAGCATTGACTGCTCTTCCAGAGGACCTGGGTTCAATTCTCAGCAATTGCTCACAACCATCTGTAAGTTAAATTCCAGGGACCTGACGCCCCCCCCCTTTGGTTTTCTCTGGCACCAGGCACATGTGTGATGTATCACATGCATGTAGTTAAAAATACCACTATACATAGAATAAAATAATAATAAATTTTAAATGGTCTTAAACTTTAAGGTTACTAAGACTGGAGGGGAGGTTAAGTGGTAGAATACATGATAAGTATAGAGGAGTCCTTGGTTTCAATCTATAGCATGAGAAAATATAAAGTTAGTGCTTGTGTTTTTCTGTATGTGCATAGGAAAAATAAATTAATAAACAACTTTTGGAAATATTCCTTCTATTGTACATTGATATTTTTGCATCACTAGCAGGCATTGCACAGTTGAGGGTCTTGAAGAATGCTGTTTAAATAGCCAGGTTTTGATCTGCAGTAATTGTATTTGTTGTTTCTGACCTTAGCAGTGGGTGAACCATGAACTCCAACTTCCAGATGTTGCTTTCTTCTTCGCATAGACTTCCCTGAGGGTAGAGTGTTTTAGACAGATAGCACTCCCCCTTATATTTATAGGCTGGTAGTTAATTGTTTTAATGATGGAGACTCCTTCGGGTCCAGTTTGAGGAAAATAAATGCAGAGTCCGATCGACATTTCTTTTGAATTTTAAATGTTTTGTGTTGTCATTTCCTAGGCTGCTGGAGGAAGTACCTCACACCAAGTTAGCTTCTCCTACTTCAACGCATTTAACTCCTTACTCAACAACATGGAGCTTGTTCGAAAGATCTATAGCACTTTAGCAGGCACGAGGAAAGATATTGAAGTCACAAAGGGTAAGATTTAAGAATTGATTGGGATATTTGAACTTGTGCTTTTCATCAGATAGGTGTGAGGTCAGATAGTTGCCACACACATGTGCGTGTTTCATGCATGCTCATGCTTCAAGTGGGCTTCCAACCCCAGGTGCATTTAATGAGATGCTAAGCCTGGCGTGCAAGAGTGCCTTTGACAGTTTTGAAAAGAGCCTTGGCCCAATCTGTCAGACAGGTCAGTGGCAGTGTGGCAGCAGCTTGTTTGTACTGGGAACAAGTTGCCCCGGAGAGAGGAGCAAGTCCACTCTTGGGGGTGAGCGGTGAGAGGCTGATTTGGGAGACCCCAGAACAGCCACCCTTATCTTGTAACCCTGGAGACCAGAGTGAATAAGCAAGAGAAGTGAGAACTAGAAGGTGATTGTTTTGTCATGGAAGTTGGTTTATCTCTTTCTGCAGTTTTGCCAGTTTTCAGGAATGCGGTGATGAGCAGAACTTGTACTTAAATTAGTTTTAGGGGATTGGAAAGGTGCTAAAATTCTTTTGCTTTGTGCTTATATTAGGCTCTTGAGATACTAACCCTTGTCTCTTTCTCTTCCAGAGGAATTTGCCCAGAGTGCCATACGCTATGGACAAGTTACCCCACTAGAAATTGATATCCTGTACCAGCTTGCAGACCTGTATAATGCATCAGGGTAAAGCTTCCTGTGATTCATGGCGGCAGTGAGCGGGGAAGTTTTAGATGTGACCTGTATACCATTTCCTTTTACCAACAGTGCTTTCAGTATCTAGAGTCTTAGAAAGAGAAATAGCAGGCGAGGGAGAAGACAGAGGGCTGGGGAGGCAAAGGGAGGGTGGGCAGAAGCAAAGAGAGAATGGGTTGGAGCAAAGAGAGACCAGGGGAATGGAGAGGTAAGAGAAGGGATTCGGAGCGAGAAGGAAGAAGGAGAAGGGGGAAATGAGGAGAGCAGAGAGTTGGAGAGGGGGAACAGATAGGTTTAATGTAGGTTTTCCCGAAGTGATTTGTAGAAATTTGGTTAAGTCTGTAAATTCATGAAAATGGGCTGAGGTTCATGGGAGAATGTTGTTCTGAGGAATGTTTCCCCCCCTTTTGATTCCTATAAACAATGGTTTGTGCCCAGAGTGTGTGCCCAATTTGTGTTAGAGGGTATTATTTTCTTGAGATACGCCTCATATATCATCACACTTCCCCCCAGAGGCAAGCCCAGATGTTTATGCTTTTGTTTCTTATAAGTTAAAAACAAGAAAGCGTGTAGAGGTCCTACATGCAAATCTACGAAAAGCCCTCATCCACAAGTACCCAGTGGACAGGGTTAAAGAGGCGCCCGCTCTCTTAGAAACCTGGGCTATTGTTGGCTTTGCCAGTCACACGTGGTAGTTCGTTAAGTCACGGTTTCAGAAATACTGGGCCTGAAGAGGTGGCAATGCAGCTGAGGTCACCTGCTCCTTTTTCAGATATTGGGACATTGATCCCCATATCCATTGAGTGGTGCATACCTGCCTGTAACTTCAGCTCTAGGGGATCCAACGCTCTCTGGTGGCTCCAAAGGGCCCCTGCACTCATATGCATATACACATGCAAATACACATAATTAGAAATAATTTTTAATATCTGGAGCTACAGAAGTTGGAAATGCCTATGTGATTCATTGCCTTCCTGCCAGATGATGCATTGCTGGACAGGGGCTGCTATTTAGTTGTTCAGCTAAATAGCATCATGAGCAGTGTTAGGCGATGGGCACAAACCACCAGGCTGTGTCTCAGTCACCTAAAATTCACACTTTTAGACATATGTTCTGAGCCTCTTTCTTGTAAATAAATGGTTTTTAAATGTCCTTCTCAGAACTACATCTGAAGTGACTATTTTTTTTTTTAAGCCGGGTCACAGAATATATTTGTTTAAGTCAGTTTTGGCACCCATATCACTTTCTTCCTGTGATTCAAGACCCAAGGAATTTGAGGAAGAATAGTGAGAAAGAAAAGCAGGCCCCTCCCTACCCCGTGCCTTCTCTTGAAGGCAGCGAACCCTATTTATCCTTCTTGCTTCTAACCTTCCTTCTGGGACCCTGGGGACTTCTGCATTGTGGAGAGGGTTTGTGAACCTTGGTTTTGGTGTGAAATACTTCTTTGCTGTTGATGCCCATTCCTTGAGTCTCATTAGATTTGTCCCCTCCTCAGTGATCTCCGGAGGTTTTTGCTTTTGTTGTAAGTAAGATCCAAAGGCTTATTGATTTTTTTTTCTCATTAAAATAGTCATAAAACGTGAATAAGGAAATGGCCCCTTTAATTGCCAGCTCTTCAGGGTTTGGAGGAAAAAGGTGTGTTTCATTTGAGGGGTCTGTCCTATCTAACAATTCTCTTTGCCACTTTCCTCCCTGAAGGCGCTTGACTCTGGCAGACATCGAGAGAATAGCTCCACTGGCTGAGGGAGCCTTGCCTTACAACCTGGCAGAGCTTCAGAGACAGGTATGAGCAGCCTGTGCTACACTCCCCATGGCCATGCCGACATGGGTGAGCATGTCAGCCTGAAGGTTCCAATTGGCATTAATATTAAAGACTCCAGAGCACCTGCACGAGATATTTTGACGTGATGACTAGTTTTTGAGTTTCATTCTTCTAGCTTATTAAGATAAGTGTTCGCACAGTCGTGGGTGTGACCTCCTTTCCAGTCATTTGCCTAATCATCTTTAAAGATTAGTATTTGGGCCATGGTTAAGCTGATACATAAAGTCTTTATTTCATTTCATTTTTTTTAAAGTACAAAACATTTTGCAATTGAAACAAGACTACAAGAAGGACAAGGGACTGTATCTAATTAGTGAACCAGAAAGAAATGTTTTTCCTTTAACATTAAATATAATAAAAATGGGGCCCATGTCTTGTAATGTTAGTATACAGTTCCATTTCAGATTTTCTAAATGTTCTCAGTAGAAAAAGCCAGACCCATGAGGTGTCCTCCAAGACTGAATGGAACCTTGTTTATTTGTCTGTTTTGTGTGAAGCCTGGACTTCTAAAGCTTCAGTTGTAGCAGAGGTTCATGGGCCTTGTGGGGGCTGAGGTTTAGGGCGGCTGGCCTCTTTCTCCTGATGCTTCACTGGGCTTATCCTTGAAGAGCTTATATTTCTCATTGTCTTCATGAGCCTGTGTGATGTTGAGGGAGATGGGGAACGGAAGGACAGAGGACAAGAGGGATAGTAAGGGGCAGGTTGTTCCTTCTCCTCATGTGACTTCTTGGTGAGCAGCCAGGGGTGGGCTTGCTGTTATTCACCTTTGTCAATTAGGTCAGTGAGAAATGAAAGTACGTACTCAGGTATGGTGGAAAGTGACTGTAACCCTGCACTCAGGAAGCTGACACAGGAGGGCCATGAGTTCAAAGCCAGCCTGAGCTACACGGCAAACCCTGACTCCAAAAAACACAACAAACAAACAAACAAACAAAAAAGATGTCTTGACCATGGAAAGGTTTGGTAGGGAATATTCCTTCTGCTTGAGCACCTTAGAATTGCTTCCTGAAACTAGTTAGGATTTCCAACTCCACCTCAATAATAAATAAGAACTTTTTACCCAGCTGAAGCAAAGAGTCCTTTGGTGTCTTCACTGACATTGTACTTTTTCTGGCGTGTGATGAACTGAAGCCTCGCTTCTTTTGTTTCCCCCTCCCCAAAGTTCTTGCTTTCTGCTACCACGTTCTCTCCTTTTCTTTTTTCCCTTTGTGTTTGTTTGTTTACTTTTTGTTTTTCTTGACAGGGTTTCTCTCTCTAGCTTTGGCTGTCCTGGAACTGACTTTGAGGACCACCAGGCTGGCCTCGAACTCACTGAGATCCACCTGCTTCTGCCTCCCAAGTGCTGGGATTAGAGGCATGGGCCACCACCACCCTGCTCAGTGATTTTTTTTTTTAAATAAAATTTTGTAGCATTAAAAAAAAAAAAAAAAAACCTTAAGATGGGCTGGAGAGATGGCTCAGAGGTTAAGAGCACTAGCTACTTTTCCAGACAGAGGTCCTGAGTTCAATTCCCAGCACCCACATGGTGGCTCACAACCATCTGTAATGAACTCTGGTGCCCTCTTCTGCAGGGTACATGCAGACAAAACACTGAATACATAATAAATAAATCTTAAAAAAAAAAACCTTAAGACATTGTACTATTTAATGAGTTCTTACTGAATTGAACTTTGTTACAAGTGGTTTTTCCTCCAGCCTGGTCCCACAACTGCGCCAGCCCCAAATAACACACAGAGACACTGTATTAGATATAAAGCCGTTGGCCTGTTACTAGTGTTTCTTATTGGCTAGCTCTGTCTTAAATATTAACCCATTTCTATTAATCTAAGTAGTTCCACGTGGTCTTATCTTACCAGAGAGACAGTCGGGAGTTCTGCTTTCTTGGTCCTATATGCTAAATCTCTCTAACCTCCTCCAGAATCCTCCTTGTGTCCTAGTCCCACTTATCTTGCTTTCCTATTGGCCAACAGTGCTTTATTCATTAACCAATAAGAGAAACATATTTACAGAATAACATCTCCCACCAGAACTTTATATTTTATACTATGCATTTGTGAAAATTGCTTTTGAGTTTTGAAAAACTTAATTGTGGAAAAATATTGTACAGTGGAGGTAACTCAGTGTTTGAGTGCTTGTATAATGTATGTGAGACCTTGATTCAACAATAAATGTCACAAAAATTAATTAATAAACCAGCATGCAAATACTTGTAATTGAGAAATAGTTCATTTAGACTCTTCAGAGCAAGCAAGGGCCAGCAGGATAGCTTAGTGGGTAAAGGACTGGTTAGTCAGGGTTCTTCAGAGGGACAGAGATGATTTTAGGAATGTAAATATGTGGGGATTGATTACAGTGGCTTATAGGCTGTGGCCCAGTTAGTCCAACAATGGCTGTCTGTCAGTGGAAAGTCCGAGAATCCAGTAGTTGTTCAATTCATGAGGTTGGATGTCTGAGCTGGTTTTCAGTATATGCTGGAATCCTGAAGAACTAGGTTCTAATGCCAGTGAAAAGAATGAACTTGGCAGGCGAAGATCAAGAGCTTTACTCTTCTAAGTCCTTTCCACAAGCTGCCACCAGAAGGTGTGGCCCAGAGTAAAAGTGGGTCCTCCCACTTCAGAAGATCTAATTAAGAAAAATCTCTCACAGCTGTACCCAGCAGCTTTGGTTTTAGTTAATTCTACGTGTGATCAAGTTGACGACCAGGAATAGCCATCACAGGAGCTTGCTGCTAAACTTGATTCCCTGAGTTCTATTCCTGCCTCCACCCTCCATCCTCTAGCCCAGTCTGCTAGGTTTTGGAAGGATCCCCTTTCAAATGATAAAGTGAAGAACAGTAGAGGAGGGCACTTGATGTCAACCTCTGGCCTCCACATGACCTCATGCAAAAATAACAACTTGGGGAAGGATTTTAGTTTGGCCTTCTGTTGAAGAGACACATGCCCCTTTATAGTTCTCCTGAGCGAAGTCTTTTCTGCACTCTGATTTGACAAAGGTGTCCTCTGACTTCCACGTGTGAGCCAGGGGCATGTGTGCCCCTATACGCCTCACCCGTGACCAACAACGGTGAATAAAATTTGAAAGCAGATGTCCAGATACTTACAGAGAGGAGAAAGGAATGCATGCATATGGTGTGTAGTGAGAAAATGATTTTTTTTTTTTCTGCTTTGTGACATGCTAACCATCGACTCACAGTCCTCCTGCCTTGGTGTTCTTGACCATGTCCATCTAGAAAATGTAACTTTGTGGGGTAGGGAAGCAAGAGCCTGTTATCCCCATACGTGGCAGGATGGAGGCAAGAGGATCATCAGGAGTTCAAGGCCAGCCTTGGCTACATAGCAGATTCGAGGTTGGCTTGGGCTACATGCAATAGTATTTTAGAATGGAGTGAGGGTGAGGGAGAGAGCAGAGAGAGGTTGGAAGTTCCTTTTGTGTTCTGGGGGTTGAACCTACATTCTAGGCAAGTACTCTACTCCAAGCTATATTTGAAGCTAAAAAATTGACCCCACCCCATCATTACTGGCCTTGAACTCTGTTTGTAGCAGAGATTGGTCTTGAACTTTGTTCCTCCTGCCTCCATCTTCTAGGTTACAGCTGTGTATCAGCACACTTGTTTCAGGAGTGCTGGGGCTTGAACTGAGGGTTCATGCTAGGTGGCATTGTACTGACTGACTATGTCCCTGTCTCCCCAAACAGAAATTGTAATTGGAAAAAAACTGAGTTAAATACAAGTTAATAAAAGACTGCAGAGAAAAGATATGCACATTTTTGGCCGGACGGTGGTGGCGCATGCCTTTAATCTGTGAGTTCAAGACCAGCTTGGCCTACAAGAGCTAGTTCCAGGACAGCCTCCAAAACCACAGAGAAACCCTATCTCAACCCCCCCCCAATAAGATGTGCACATTTTTAATGTGATAGTTTAGAAGTTAAAACCAGGTTGTTTCTTTGTGAGAATGGGCACATGAACCTTTTTTTCTTCCACATTTACTTTTTCAACTGTGTGGGATAAATGATCTATATGAACCTCTTTGGGCATTCCTCTCTCTCTCTCTCCCTCTCTCTCTCTCTCTCTCTTTCTGTGTGTGTGTGTGTGTGTGTGTGTGTGTGTGTGTGTGTGTGTTGCTTCAATGTGAAATTATATTAAAGCTCTAGGTCAAAGCTCTTGCTCAAAATGAGCTGAGCTGTACTCTGCTGGAACAGTGACTCTCAACCTTCATAACGCTGTGACCATTTAATACAGCTCCTTATGTTGTGGTGATCCCCCAACCCTAAAATTATTTTTGTTGCTACTTCATAACTGTAATGTTGCTTCTGTTATAAGTCATCATGTAAATATCTGATATGCAGCCCCCTCCCAAAGGGCTCGAGGCCCACAGGCTGAGAACCACCCACCTAGACATAACTGAATTGATTTCATTGTTATTTTCCTATTGCTGTTCCTTAGTCTTAGGATTTTTTCCTCTGTGTAATTTAAAGTCTCACGGATGTCTTTGATCATGGATTTGTGACTATATGGAGGAAAACATTAGGTTTACTGATTAGTTCCAAAAAAGGGAAACCTGTTCTCAAAAAGGAGGAAATCAGGTTTATATGAGAGCTATTATTTATTTATTAGTCATTTATCTCATTAAAAATTTTAGATACTTCACCCTTTGATGAATCTGGCCTCCCTCGTACTGGGAGAGGAAAATATGCATGCATTGTTTTATGTATAGAATCAAGAAAATTGTTAAAGTCTATATATTTTCATACCTCCACCTGCTTGATCCTTCTGTATTGGCATGGCTTTGGGTTTCAGTCTTACTTCCTAAGGAATGGAGGGCTTGTAACATAGGTGTGGCTTGGAGCAGCTGTTTTGTGTTCCCTAGCCCTACCTTGCTCCTCTGACCACACATTTAGCTCATGTACAACCCAGCTCTGTTGTTTTCAGAACAGAGTTGCTATAAAACTGACTTCAGTTATTCTTGTCCTCCTACCCTGGTGTGTGTCGTTGGAAGAGGGCTTCTCTCCATTGGGTTGGCAACCTGCTTAAAGCAGCCTGGTGTACTGGTGTAGGTTTGATCCAACAACTGACACAATCCTGTCCTATATTTAGCAACAACAAAAACAAACAAAAAACAAAGTTTAAAAAATTTAAAAAGGGAAGAAAAAAAAAAAAAGGATCTCTCTTGAAATGAAATCTAAAATCCTCGAGGAAGCCCGTTAAAATCATCTAGGGGTCTCATCCTGTTTTGCTTTGAAAAACAGTTAATTAGCTTTGTGAAATACCATCCTTCACAGTCATGATCATAACCCTAAGGGAGAGAGTGCCCGTTGGCTCACGGTAGGTTATCTTTTTAGTGCTGAATATTTTCTTTCAGTGTAAATGCTAAAAATTCAGTACATAGTCATTAATTGAGACGACAGCTATAGGCACATTCTTTTATGAATATTCATGATGTGAAACCTATAGCATTAATTACATTAATTTGCATAGCTGACTACAAGGGAACCGTAAGTTGTAGTGATAACTAAGCCTTAAGAAAAAACATCCTCAGTAACCTTACTCTTGTATGTTTTCTTACAAATGCTATTTAATGGGAATGAAGGTGACATTTCTGTCAAAAGGCATTTGGGTATTTATAGTTTGAGATGTTTTAGCTAAGAATTAAAGCACAGAATAATCCTTCAGTTTTCATAGGATTTTGCAGGGCTTACAAACATTCTTTGAAGAAAGGGAGTTGAAAGAAAAATCTATATTGTTGAATGCAGGAGAAAATTCCCGTGTGAATAAGGGAATTAGTGGTTACTTGATGCTTCTTTGAGATCATAGACCTATTATCTTAGGAAAGGAACTTTTCTCCCCTTTTTAAGATAGGGTCCCACTTTGAACCCCAGGTTTGCCTTTAATTAATTTTTTAGATTTTTGTTTTTTATTTTATGTTTATGGATGTTTTGCCTGTTTGCATGTATGTATGTAGTGCTTGTGGAGGCCAGAAAAGGGCACCCTTGGAACTGTGGTTGTATGGTTGTGACCCACCCTGTGGGTGCTGGGAACTGAGTCTGAGTCCCCTGCTGAGTCATCTCCCCAGCCCTTGGCTTTGAACTCTTTATTCATTGGCTTTTGCTGTCTGAGTAGCTGGGATGACAGGTATGCACCCCCGTGCCTAGCTTTACTCCATATCTTTAAATTCAACTTTTTTTCCTTGAGATAGTCTCCTGCAGGCCAGATGGAGCTTGAACTTACCATGTAACTAAGAATGACCTTGAACTTGTGGCTCTCCCTCCTCCATTCCCATAGATCTAGAATTCATGTCTGACTCACCATGGCATTATTTTAGTTTTGTTTATTATGATTCTCTGTGTGTGTGTGTGTGTGTGTGTGTGTGTGTGTAGTGCAGATACGTGTGTGTGTGCAGGTACACATGTGTGTGTATGTGTGTGAGATTGTAGATACGTGTGTGTCTGTGTGAGAGAGAGAGTGCAGCTACTCGTGTGTCATGGTGCATGTGTGAGCTTGGAGGATGTCTATTGGGAGTAAGTGCTCTCTGGGGATCAAGCTGAGATCATAAAGCTCACACAGCAGGTGCTGCAGCTGCTGAGCCATCTCACCCGATGCTGCTGCTTCCTCTCCCTTCTCTTCTTCATTTTGAGAAGCTCATTATGACAAAGTAGATATTTTATCCCTTTCTTCCAGGATCTTATAGAGCATATTAGATATTTTCATACTGAAAATACCAAGTTCCAGACTCACACATCCATGTAGACAAGTTACTGCAAATGTATTCCATTGCTTTATCTCACTATTATCATAGATTGTGTTAGAACTGTGAATGTGGGTAGGACAGTAGTCATTGGAGATTTTAGATGAGAAGCTATCTTCTCTGGTCTGGAACTCCGAGACCTACCTGCCACTGTCCTCTGAGTGCTGTAAAGGCCTGCTCACCGCACTGGCAGTTTTGATATGTTTTGTTTGGTATGGGCAGTTCGTGGGAGACAGGAGGGTCAGTGATTAAAGTCAGCTACATAGCAAGTGCAGAGCCAGCCTAGTGTCTGAGACTTTTTCTCATGAAACATAATAAAGGGGACTGGAGAGATGACCCAGTAGTTAAGAACACTGGCTGCTCTTCCAGAGGTCCTGGGTTTAATTCCCAGCAACCACATGGTGGCTCACAATCACCTGTAATGAGATTTGGTGTCCTCTTCTGGCATGCAGGGATACATGTAGATAGAACATTGTATATATTATAAATAAATCTTTAAAAAACAGCATAATAAAGGGGTTGGTAAGGTGGCTCAGCGTGTACAGGCGCTTGCCACCAAGCGGGGCAATCTTAGTTTGACCCTCGGAGACCACATGGTGCAAGGGAGGAATTGATGGCTGAAAGTTGTCCTCAGACAGCCACATGTAAGCTATGGCTGCATATACCTCCCTGCATACACGGTGAATGAATGAGTGAATAAATGTTAAAAACAAAATATTTAAAAATGTCAAGGTAGAGAGGAGTAATGTTGAATGCTGGTATATTTGCTTACCTGAGTTTCAGTCCTGGGAGGGTTAGAAGTGCGTCTTAGCGATGCAGAGCTTGCCCAAGCTCCCACGAGGCCCTGGAATCAGTCTCCAGTACTGCAAACACAAACCTCTCAAGGATAATAATGTGTTCCCCAGTAGCATTCCATATGCAAAGATTAAGAAAAAGCTACTCTACATTTTGCTGGGCATGGAGGGTTTTTGTTTTGTTTTGTTTTAGTTTAGTTTATTTATGTTTCTGAGTGTTTGGAGAGCAGATATATATATATTTGGGTACCACAAGCATGCTTAGTGCCCTTGGAGGTCAGAAGAGGAACTGAAGTTACAGGTGATAGTGTACCACCCACCTCTGTGTGCATGCTGGGAACCCAAACTGGGCCCTCTGCAAGAGCAGTGAGTGCTCTTAACCACCGAGTCATCCCTCTAGCCCTGAGGTATCTCTTCTCAGAAAAACACTAATATCCCGTTTGCTTCCAGTTTTAGATTTTCTTTTTTTTTAAACTTGAAAAATGCCGAATTGTAGCTTGAAAAATGCCGCCGCGCCCCCCCCCCCCCCCCACACACACACGAGGAACACATTTTCAGACTTGTCTGTTTTCTTCCTCCCACAGCAATCTCCTGGCTTGGGCAGGCCTATCTGGCTCCAGATTGCCGAGTCTGCCTACAGGTTCACTCTGGGCTCAGTTGCTGGAGGTGAGTTGCTGGCTCTCTCAGGCTGGTCTTGCTGTAACATTATCCCAGCAGATGGGAGGGCTCAGCAAAGGTGCAGCTCATTGTTCCTGGGGGTCAGGACTGCAAGGCTGTCTGAAGCTTCTTTATTTTAGGAGGGCTTGTCATAGCATGGCTGTGGCCTTCTGGCTCCAGCCTGTCTTCAGCATAAAACCTCTGTAATGACGGGGAATCTGAAGTGCACCGCTGCACTCACCTTAATTACATCAGTTAAGGCCAGCATGAAAAATGGAGACTAAGGAGTTTATGGGGTCAGGCTAGGGGCAGAGAGGAAGCCAAGATCTGCGATGCAAACTCAAGAAATCCGTGAACTAAAATGGTCTCTCACAGAGAGCCACAGTGGCTGGCTTGTGATTTTTCTTTCCTTTCCTCTGGCTTAAGAGTGTCCAGATATGTTGTTTACTTGCTGAGAAGAGTCTTCCCTCCCTGCTCTGCTCACACAGAGCTTAGAGGAGCCCATTAAAAGGGGTTTTATTTTTGTGTGTGCATGTGTGAGCTTGTGGAGGTCATAGTGTGCCCATGGGGGTCAAAGGTCAGCTTGGCCAGAGTTGTCTCTCTCCTTCCACTGTGTGGGGTCCAGAGAATGAGCGCAGGTTGTCACACTTGGTGGCAAGTGCCTTTGCCTGCTGAGCCATCTCACCAGCCTGAGACTAATTTTACTTAAATAATCTACAAAGAAAATGTATAGGACCTCAAATTGCTTTGTTGAGAAGAGATTAAACCCCCTCCCCAACTTTCAAAGCAAGCTGGAACCAGTGACTAGGATCCCCCCCACCCCTCCAGGTTTAGAAAGTGCCAAGTATGTTCTGGTTTTCAACAGCCGCAAAATAGAACACTCTAGGTCCTGTGAATTATTTCAATCCCTGAGAAGTTCTAAAGCGTGACTGTAGGTTTTTGTTTGTTTGTTTGTTTGTTTGATTTGCAACCAAATTCTATACACAGGGGTAGGATGTCAAGGATTTTTCCTCCAGATGGCTGTAGCTTAATTTACCAACATGTTTCAGTGAACTAAACTTTAAAATTACAGCCACTTAGCTTGTGTACCGTTGTCTCATAGTTATGAAGGAGGAGCAAGCATAATATTTAGACATTTAATAGAAAATGAAAAGAAATGAGGACCCATGCATGATAGTTTAGTGTCGCCAAAGGAAACCGAGGGCTGGTTTTCTGATGGTTGCTGGTGATTTGAGAATCTGCTTTCTAACTCATAGACTGAAGATATCAAAGACATCAAAGATGTGTTTTAGGGCCTCTCACATGCTAGACCAGCATTCTAGCTGGGATCTGTATTGTCCCTTGAAGCAGCTGTTAATGGGCTCTGCTGACTGCCATTCTGCCATCTTTTTGGCTCTATTAATAAGCGAAGGAAAATTATAGTAGGTTGACTCTGTTTTGTAAGAACAGACACTATGTTTTATTTTTCATCTGCGGATGCTCCAGATAATTATGTTCCTTTCCTTAAACATAAAAATTGTTCTGTTTGTAGCTGTGGGGGCCACTGCAGTGTATCCCATAGATCTGGTGAAGACCCGGATGCAAAACCAGCGTGGCACCGGCTCTGTGGTCGGGGAGCTGATGTACAAAAACAGCTTCGACTGTTTTAAGAAAGTGTTGCGCTATGAGGGCTTCTTTGGACTCTACCGAGGTGAGTAAGCAAATCTCAGCACTGAAGTTGGTGATTTTTCTGTCACTATCAGTAGATTTAGCTCGTTCGTTATAAAGACCAATTAGGCATCCCCCCTCTCCACCCCCTTTGCTCAGTTTCCCGTGTTGCGTTCATTCTGGTGACTGGCAATACTAGTCTGCAAACAGGTGTTCCCTTCTCCTTCCCGCTGTTTTTAATTCTTGGAATCCAAATCCTGTGTGTGTGCGCATGCTTTCTGAGGGCACGGGCCAGCAGAGATGTAGAGAGAACTATACTAACACTAATTCCCCATGAAATTGAAGCCAGGTGCTAGTTGAAGGTGAGGGTTTTTTGGCTTTGTTTTGTTTTGGTTTGGTTTTTTTTTTTTTTTTTTTTTTTTTTTTTTTGTCTTCTCCAAGGAAACCCCTGGTAAGTTTTTCCCAGTTGGGTCATCTGAATTTTAACAGGCAGGGAAACCCTAGGGCCCCAAGCTTCAGTCGGGCCCCCTTTCCTCCCCATGGCAGGCAGAGCACAGAGTTTCTTTCTCCTCTCGTGGTGACTATTACTGAGCGCCCAGATGTCGCATCCCATGCTGCTGAATCTCCCGGCCCCAATGGGCTCTGTAGGGACTTGTCTTCTTGGAGAGAGGATGGCTTTCATCTACATGCTTTCACGTTAGAATTTAGGGTTCCTTTGCGGGGGAGATTAATTTTTTAAGCCCTTTGGGCGCCACTTGGAAATCTTTAAACACTCTTAACATGCTCTGGTCCTGGACATTTATGTAATTTACTGTACATGTTGTTTGCATTCCCAGGCTTATTAATCCCAGCGCCTTCTGAGCTCTGTGGAACAGTTTGGCTCAGAGTGTTTCCTAGGAAAGAGACTGGGATTGAACAGATGGGAAGGGGAAGAAACACCTGTAGTTGGCATGGCATTCAGGCATTTGAGTGGACACATTTGGGGGTGAAGAAGGCCACTTGCATCTTTGCTGTGGGCACTGAGTCTCAATGCCCAGCTTCTGAGAGCAAGTATAATGAAATTTGCTCAACTATTCAGAATGCTTTGGCCCTGCAAATCCCAGCTGTATTAACTTGTACTACAGGGGCAACAGTGGCCACTGTCCCGCATGTCCAGGGCTGGCAGAGCAAAGGCTTGTTTTAAATGTTCTCAGCTCTTTGGACCTAGGTCTGTCTTACTTAATAGGGGAATTACTGTTGAATGACACTGTTTGTTTATTTCTTTGACATCTCCAATCTTTCATTATTAAATAATGACCCTACTCTTAATTAGTGTGGTTTTAAGTTACAAAGGATGTCTATAGAGAACTATTAGACGGACTCCAGCCATGCCATGTATGGCCTTCTCAATATATAGATACTTCTTGAAGATTTTATTTGGAAGAGCTATCATATTAATTAAGACAGTGCAATACAGCAAGTGGGGGGGGAGGGGGGATGCTGTTGACTTTATTGAGGACATCTAAGCTGATAAAATGGGTCCTTTAAATAAGAGACTTTTATATTAGAGGGATGATTGCAGGAGCCCTGCCTGGGAGCACAGTGATTGTTGAGATTGTCATATATTGTTTAGAACTGGCCCATTATTCTGTCAGATGACTGACAAAGTTGTTGACAGATTAGCTAAATTTCTTTGCAGGCAACAATGATAAAATGACACAAATCAGTGCTTTATTAACATTCCACGAGCTTTAGGGAGGAAAGTTGTAAAACAAATACACATGCTGACACCGAGTTTCTGGAGCTAGGTTAAAAGCAATAGGGTCTGATGATCAGGCAGACGTTAAGACTGCCATCTACTGATTTATTCTTTTAGATCAGTCTTCGGCCCACAGAAGGTATGCATGGGCTTGTGTTTGTCACTGATAATTCAGTTTGACTGACAGTAGCCTGTATGCATGTCTCCTTGCTGGCTCTCGACTCCCAGAAAATCACTCAGTGGCATCTTCCAAGGAGGCTTAAGACGAGAGTAGCAAGCAAGCGTGCAGACAGGAATATCACTCCCCCTGGTTTTAAAGCTATGAGTTTATCGCTAGCATTTCTTAGAAAAATATATGCAAAAAAAAAAAAAAAAACCCTATGCCAACAACTTGATAAACCTGCATTCTCTCGGAAGCCGAGCACTGTGGGCATCTGCAGGTGGAGTGGTTTACATATGACTGTTCTTCTCCAGTTTGCAGCCAGCCTGTGAAGTGTAGCTTTCCAAGCATAATTGTTTCTTTTGTTTTGAGAAGAGTCTTTTGAAATGCCTTAAGCTTGACATACATTAGTAAATAAAAATATAATTGGCATATGTTTTTGCTTATAGAAGATACTCACAAACTGATACTAAAGACTGCATTTTTTTTTCTTTACAGCCGTGGGTTTCTTTTAAATAAATGAGTGCAGAGTGCTGGGCTCTCTAGAGAGAAGATAGTAGGAGCAGATGTCAGCAGCAGCCGCTCTCCTTTGTGCTGCAGGGAATGTCGTCTGTAGTAAAACCTGGCTGTGCTTAAAGCACGTGGCCCCAGCTTCTCTCCAAGTCTTAAACACCAGCTTCTGTAATGTCTGTATGTTTGTAGCTGCTGCAGAGGGCAGGGGGAATTCAGTTACAGAGTGGAGAAAACCCAAAGAGTCCATTCTTTTTTTTAAATTTAATTTTATATAACAAATTTTATATAACAAAGTCCAATTAAATGAAAACAAACATTTATACACAATATTTGGGAATTTGGGCGTCGTTCTTTCCAAACTACTTCCTGCTGGTAAGGGGCGCTGTCTTGGGGGGGATTCGAAGAAGATTCAGATATCCTGGCTGTAGTCTGTAGGGCTGTTTTGTCTAGCTGTTCTGAATGTAGGATCACCTTGTACTATGTTTCAGGCAGTCTGGCGTGATCAAACCACATTAGTCTGGAAGGAATCCACATCTTTTCATTTTCTGTGGAAACAAAAATAGAAATCCAAAGAGTCCATTCTTTACTTTAGAGAAGACATTGGATAGCAAGGTTTTATTTATTTATTTATTTATCTTTAAGGGTGTTTAAGAAAAAACATTTATATCTTTGAGAAAATGGCATTATATTTGACTGGTAAATTGTATATGTATATAATTATATAATATGTAGAGAATATATATACGTGATTTTTAGGATAACCCCTTTTCCCCATTTGGATGAAAACCTTGAGATACTTGGTGGGTAACTTCAAGAGAAACACTTCCTTGTTGGGCTTATCCATTCATATAAAGACATGGTCCTTTCCTTCTACCCAGGTCTGATACCCCAGCTGATAGGAGTTGCACCAGAAAAAGCCATTAAGCTGACAGTAAGTTTCTTATTACTGAACTGATATCATTTACTTAGATTGTCATGCAGCAAAAAACAAGATCAATGCTGGTGAGACCGTGAACTATCAAGGCACTTGTAAGATTTTTCTCATATATGTAGACATTTGGTAAAATTTTACTTTTATCATGCGGCAACTATTTTGGTAATTTGGATATATGACCATGTGCCAGCAGAGGAGATGGCAGGAAATTCTGATGAACTGATCTTTCTTTCTAATTAGGTTAATGATTTTGTCCGGGACAAATTTACCAAAAGAGATGGCTCCATCCCACTGCCTGCAGAAATCCTCGCTGGAGGCTGTGTAAGTGTCAATCCCGAGTATTTCTTGTAGTAAATATATTCCTCTAACCATTTTGCAAAGTAGGTATGAAATATGAATGGCATTTCTCCTTTAAAATTTTTTACTACATTTTTCTTTAGTGTGTGTGTTGGTGTGTGTGTGGTGCATACCTTGGTGTTTATGTGTCGTGGTTAGAGAACAACTTTCAGGGTTCAGGTAGGTCCTGGGGATTGAACTCAGGGCTGCAGATTTAGCAGCAGGCACCTTTATTTACTCAGTGAGCCATTTTGCTGGCCCAATATTTCTCATTAACTCACAGACTTGCCTGAGAGGATTCTCATAGTAAGTGATGTTTTAAAATGTGTATGTACGTACAGACAACCTTGGGTGTTATTCTCAAGAAAACTGTCCCCCTCTTTTGAGACAGAATCAGAAAGTGAACGCCTGGAATCTTCTTGGCTTTACCCCTGCTATCACTGGGCGTCCCAGGACAGGCCACCACATTTGGTCTTATGTGGTTTGTGGGGCTTGAATCAGGTTCTAGGGTTGCTAACTGATCCTTCTCCCCCAGTGTATAATCGGACTTCTTTCTCTTTCTCTCTTTCTCAGTTTTTCAAGACAGGGTTTCTCTGTGTGGTTCTGGCTGTCCTGGAACTCACTTTGTAGACCAGGCTGACCTCAAATTCACAGAGATCCGCCTGCCTCTGCTTCTTGAATGCTGGGGTTAAAGGTGTGCGCCACCACACCTTTTTGTATAATCTGATTTTGAGTATTATTATCATCAGCTTTGTTTCTTCTAGACATGTGTATGTGTGTGTATACATATATATGTGTGTATGTATATATGTATGAATATAAATCACACATGTGTGCATATATATATATATATAATTTAAAATTTTTATTTCATGTGTGTTTTGCCTGCATGCATGTAAGTGCACCATATGCATACAGTGCCCATGGAAGCCAGGAGGGGAGTCTCAGATCCCCTGGAACTGAGTTACAGATGTTTGTGAGCCACCCTGTGACTGCTGGGAACAGAAGAGCTAAAGCACTCTACAGCTCCCTTCTTAAATTCTTAAGGTTTTCTTTTCTTTTCTTTCTTTCTTCTTTCTTCTTCTTTTTTTTTCTTTTCTTTTTTTGTATCAAAGAGTATGTAATAGCAGGTGGAGTTACTGTCCATTTCTCTCCCTGGAACTTTAAATGTGAGGAGGCTGGTTAATTGGGCTCTTTGGTTTTACGTGTAGAAATGAATCTGCCATTGTGTTTAATTAAGCTGTAAGAGCCTATAACAACTATAACTATATTGTAGCCATTGGCAAAAATCCCCAAGTCAGAGACTGAGAGTGTAATGTTTTTGAATCTCAGATGCTTCTGTGTTTAAGGTAGAACCCTTGCACTGGGTTTAGACCGGTTAACACATCTCAGTTTGCAGCTTGGCAAATGTTATGTGTGGTATCCACTTCACAGTTGCTAATGTGATTTGCTTGAGACTTTCATAGTTCATTTTGGTCCTGAAAATGTTAATAACTTTTGGTTGAATTGGCCGGAGGTCTTGGTGAAAGCCTTCTCACTTGCTTTTGGAGACTGAGATGATGAGGTCAATGACCTTAGAAGTTTTAATTCAGAGAAGATGTCCCTGGGGTCAGGGGGGAGCAGTTGCTCCAGGCTTCTCCATGATGAGACTTGTCAGTGGGACCCTTGCCTTGTGTGTGGAATGAGGCCAGGCTTGTACGTTTGCATATACACCATGACTGTGTGTGTGCTTTCCCATGAAAGAGACTTACTTGGCTCAGTTTATCTTCTATACAGATAAATGACCGACAAGAATAAGCCCCCTGCTTATATGTGTCCACTTAGTGTGCTTCTCCGCCTTATATTGTAATTAGATGCTATAATCGTTTCACTTCTTTGCAAATGATAAATATATTGTATCAGTGGTTTTATTTTTCCTCTGGTTAGGAAGCTGCCTAACTCATATCGACCACAGCATACACAGACCCATCTGTAATCCCTTGAAGGCTTGTCATCTTTTGTGATGGAGGGGTAGTGCATGCCTGTAATTCCTAAAGTAGGGAGGTTAATGCAGGAACATTGCAATTTCAAAATCATCTTTGGCTACATATGCATTCAAGGATAGCCTCCACTAAATGAGGTCCTGTCTGGGAAACAGAAAGAAACAAGAAGGTTGTACATTATCTTTTCCACACAAGTAATTATTTTTGTGCTGTATAAAGAATTTTGGTCATTAGCTGTCCTTTTCTCTTGTCTGACCTATGACCTAAGTGGTTAAGACATAATTAGACATGTGATAACTTTGTTCTTCTAGGTGTGGACTCTTGTTTACAGGTGAAGTCTAAGATGCCTTGAGGGTTTGGCTGACACTGAGTTTCTCCCATAGTCATGATTTATTTCTGGATCTTAATCTTGACTGATGCTTGATTGGCTGAGAGCAGGAGAAATACTGATGTTAAACAAAGAGGAAGGTGGTGGCATTCTTATTTTTTATTTTTATCTTGTTTTTTGAGACAGAGTCTCACTATGTAGCCCAGGCTGGCCTTAAACTCAACGATGGTTCTTCTTCAGCCTCCTGGGTGCTGGGATCACAGGTTTGTAGCACATCAGAAAATAGAGTTCAAGATGAATGAACATGCCTCTCTTTGTAGACCAGCATGCACCTCGGGGAAGAAGGTGACCTCATTCCTGAATGAGGCCAATCAGCTCTGTGGAAAGCAGTTTCTCAGGGACCTGCTGAGGGACCACACCCTCAGTGGTGCTGACCAGATAAAGGTGTGGTGTCCCTCAGGGTGTTTAGCTGAGGGCTGTTGCTACCACCACCAAGGAAAGCACAGTCGCTCTCCCCTCAGCTACCCAGTTTTAAAACTGCACCTAGGTTACCCAGGAAGCAAAGATCTGACTGAGCAGGAAGCTCTTCCCAGCAAAGGGATTAGCGAGGGCTCAGGCCTAGTTTTTTGGTGAAGGGAAGAAAAGTTATTGCCATGAGAATAGGGTAAAAATTTCAGATCTGCAGATGTATTCTGCTGTGGAGTTTTTCTTTGTTTTTGCTTTGAGATATGGTCTTGTACATCTAGAAAGAGCAGTGGAAACAGTCCCTTTCTTCCATTTCCAGGAATCAGTGTTATCCCAACTTCATGCTGCCAATTGACGTGATCACATATACACACACACACACAAGTTAGACATCATTGTGCAGTCATGTCACATGTGAAGTATGATAGGTACACAGGGATTTTGACTTAGCTCATTCTGGCTAATATAACAAAATGCCGTAGACTGGGTAACAACAATAAACAGAAATGCATTGTTCATAATTTGGAGTTGTCCAAGATCAAGGCACCATTAGCTTCATTGTGGTGATGGCAGGCTGGATCTCAGTGGTGCCGTGCTGTTGCATGGGATGCGGAGAAAGGGACAAAGCAGCTGCCTTCATTTTCTGTAGCTAAATCAGTTCTGGGTTTTATGTTCTTAACACTTTGGTATCACCCAGAAGGAAACATTGACTACCAGGGCTAGAGAAATGGCCCGGTGACTAAGAGCAGACTCACTACTCTTCCAGAAGGCCTGAACTTGGTTGCCAGCATGCACATTGGGTAGGTCATACCACCTGTAACTCCAGCTCCAGAGCCTCCAGCATCCTCTTGTGGCTTCCTTGTGCATCATGCACATGTGGCATATATACACAGTTACACATAAGTAAAAATACATCTTTAAAAAATTTTAGTACTATGTATGTATGTATGTGTGTATATATGCATGTATGTGCACTATGTACATGTAGTACCCACAATAGCCAGATGAGGGCATCAAGTCCTGTGAAACTGAACCTAGATCCTGTGCAAGTGCAGCAAGTGCTCTCTGCTGCTAAGCCATTTCTCCAGCCCCCAAAAAATAAATCTTAAGAAAAGGAGTGGGATGGGGTGGGGCTAGAGAGATAGCTCAGCAGTTAAGAGCACTGACTGCTCTTCCAGAGGACCAGGGTTCAATTCCCAGCATCCACATGACAGCTCACAACTGTCTGAAACTCCAGTTCCAGGGGATCTGGCACCGTCACACAGATACACATGCAAACAAAACACCAATGCACATAAAATGAATATAAATAAAATCTTTAAAGAAAAAACCAAAGCTGGGCAATGGTAGTACACACCTGTAATCCTAGTACTCAGGAGGCAGAGGCAGGTGGATCTCTGTGAGTTCCAGGACAGCCAGGACCATTTCACCAAGAAATCCTGTCTCAAAAAAACAAACAAAACAAAAATTCACTGTAGCTATTAAAATGGTCAGACTTGGGCAGGGTCTGGAAAGAGGCCACAGTTTCAGATTCCAGCTCTGCTAATTAAACTCCAGAGTATCACTGATACTATGGCTGAGACTTCCAGTGGGGTGTACGGTGACATTGTCCCTCAGCTACTTGCAGAATGCAGCTAATCATGTTTTAATCATAAGCCACTTTGGTTTAGAAAATCTCAGGTAAATTTGTCATAATTATAATCAAATAATGCATAGCAAATATTTTATGTTCATAAGTGATTTTTAAAAAGCCAAATGCAAATATTTTTTGTTCATAGGTGAATTGGCATTTTTTAAAAAGCCACATCATAGTGCTTTATGATATAATCAACACTTTTCTTATTGGGCATTTCCTGCGTGATTTTGTTGTTATTAAAAACTACAAACTGCTTGTTGTCACAAATACAGGTGCATCTTCTCCATTAAGAAGTTACTATTCTTATGGAAATGGATCACTAAATAATTGTATTTGCTGCAAGCTGAATGTTTTTCCTTTGGAAGCTGTTTTGCTGTCCTGTAAAAATTAGTCCTGGCCTAAGACAAACGCCCATGAAAGGGTGTGACAGAGGTGCAGTCCTTACTCTACACACTAGTCTTCTTGTCAGCCACAAAGTTCAATAAAGGACAATGCACACTCCTTGTCCTTTCTTTTTAAGTATTATAAACACCCAAAGTTTCATTATTGCTATATACATTTACTTTTTAATTAATTAATTAATTAACTTTTGAAGCAGAGTTTCTCTGTATGGCCTTGGCTGTCCTGGTACTCACTCCTGTAGATCAGGCTGGCCTCAAACTCAGAGCTCTGTCTGCCTCTGCCTGCTGAGTGCTGGAATTAAAGGCATGCACCACCATTGCCTGGCTATTTGTTTTGAGACGGGTCTCACTATGTAGCTCCAGGTGTCCTGGAACTCACTCTATAGACCAGTCTGGCTTTGAACTCATGGAGATTCTCCTGCCTCTGCCTCCTGAGAGCTGGGGTTAAAGTGATCGCTGCATCCAGCCTGTGTAATAATTCTCTCTCTGTGTATGTGTTTGTGTACATGTATGTTTGGGTGTGGTGTTGCAATGTGCGTGTGAGTCGTGTCTCTGTAGTGTATACATGTGGGTGTGTGGAGGCCAGATGAGGACATGTCTCTCACTGAACCTGGAATTAGGCTGGTGACCAGCAAGCCCTAATGAGCCTCCCATCTCTGCCTGCTACAGTGTTGGGGTTCCAGCTATTCACAGCAGAGCCTGTCTTTTTATGGGGGTTCTTGCCACTTGAGCCCATGGCTTCATGTTTGCAGAACAAGCATTCTTACCTATTGAGCCTTTCTACCTCCACCCAAAGTTTTAGACAAATTAAGTAGCAATCTTATAATTTCTAAAAAGTTTCAGTGTTTCTAAATATAATTTAACATGATCCTAGTCCTGTTGCTTAAAGTTTTAAAGTGCTGAGTAATTTGAAAGACACAAACAAGCATGGCTGAACTGATAGAGAAGTTTTACTCCTTAAAATCCAGGGACTACACAGGGATGACCTGATGGATGTGTGCCTTGCTATTTATAGTGTCACTATTCATGGTTGCCAAGCTCTCTTGCTGGGAGATCCATATTGGCAGTTTGCATCTGTGTTCCAGGGTGTCATAGGGAGCCGGGATTCTCCCCTTCAATCTAGACAACAGTTGATGTGACCATATATGTGTTGTTGGCTGCAGGGTGTCATATGGGAGCCGGGATGTTCCCCTTCAATGCAAACAACTAATGTGACAGTATGTGCAATGTGTGCTGTCGGCTCCTTTTGTCGGATGTACTGAAGAAAGCTTGTTACCTGGACACTGAGAAATTTGGAGAAGTGTTAAAGGAGCGCTCAGCTTACTCAGCTGGCAGTCGCTTCTAAGAGGGTCAGATGAGAGCAGAGGCTCTCAAGGGAGGGAGCCGGGTGCAGGCAGGCGGGACATGGCAATTCACCAGTGGCTAAAATGTGAAAGGACAAGCTGCATGTGGAGGTGGCACACGCCTTTGATTCCAACACTCAGAAGGCAGGGGCAGGCAGATCCCTGATTTCAAGGTCAGCGTGGTCTACATAGAGAGTTCTAGGACAGCCAGGGCTACACAGTAAAACCCTGTCTCAAAAACACAACCAGCCAAACAAACAGCCCCCAAACCATGAAAGGCCTCTGTGTTTATTTAAACATAATATCCGTATTTAACACTTAGCACCTAAAGGTAGGTCGGTACACTGGGTGGTAAATCTGGGGGATTATAATAAAAATGTATAGTTCTTTTCTTTTTATTTTAATCTGCCTTAATTTAGCTTAATTTAGAATATAAAGCATGTTTCCCCAAAGACAGTCTTTACAACCATTATTTTAAAAAGTGATTTCAAGGAAATAGTAAACTTTTCAATTGGTTTGGTCTTTAACTCTAGCTATAGGAGTAATTACTTGGATTATCATTTTAACATAATTTTACCCAGCAACCCTTTTGAAAGCATTGTTTGCTTAGACTGAAACGGTGAAATTCTCCCTTCTGCCTACAGTGCAGCAGATTATAAAAGAAAGAAATACAGACAAAGCAACATGTACCATTTGGGTCATCCTTGTTGGGGCTCTGTGTGCCTGCTGGTGGTCTGTGCTATGTCAAGACCAAAGGGGATTAGTTCCCTGGGGGATTCGGGACAGTCAGTTGCCCAAGGGAGGAATCTAGGGCCAGTGCAGTGTTCAAAGTCAGGAGTGTTGAAGGGTCAGGATTTAAACCAGAGACATTGAAGTGTGGTGTTGTCCCAGTGTGGTTAGGAGCCACCTTGCTGTCCTTTGGAGGTGGTCAAGGCGGGTGACAGTCTTAGGAAGATGTGGGGAGTGTGGGGGGGGGAACTGAGATGGTGTTTGGACACCTGTGGAAGTGCACAGGGAGGAACACAATTCCTACTTTACAGGGACATGCACTGACACTGAGTTAGGACTGTGTGATGATTGTGATTATATGAACACCATTGCAATTGTATAATATTGTATCAATATAGTTACGATTATATAATATAAACAGCCAGTTTAAGACAAAACGCACAAATGAGATTTTTTTTTTTTGCTTCATGGAGATATTATTATATTTTTTTTTACTTTTATATATATGTGATCATGTGTATGTGCTCATCTTTATTTTCTAGAAATCCCAAAAGGAACTGTAGCAGTTATTTTAATCATTCTTTTTCTATCCCATTCTACGAGCTGGCAGATCTCAGATGCAAACACATTCTGATTATTTAAAAATCCAGTCTGTCTCTCACCACCAGAGTGTAGATCTGAGGGTGTTGCACTCTGGGTGACTCAGAGTTTCGTTTCCTAGCTCTGTCTTGATTTTCTTCCCCCTTGTCTTGTCTTGAAATGATACTAAAGTTTGCCTTCCCAAATTCCTTCCTTCTGTGTGGGCGTCACTGGGCCAGGCTCAGAGCTCCATGCAGAGCTCCGTGCATGCTCATGTACGGTGTAGTTTGAGCCAGGGGAGATAAGTCTGATTGTCATGGCACCCTGTGAGGTTAAGGATGTGCTCGTTTTCCTGCAAGTTGGCAGGCTGCATCAGTGCTCTGCCGAGCGCCTCCCCAGCCCACCCCCTACATCTTCACTCACTTTGGTTTTCGAATTGGGTTTATCGATTTCACTGTTTTGAATACGCTTGAGGTTATCCTTGAGGGTCAGTTCTGAGAATCGGTCTTGACATTTCAAATAGAAATAAACATAAACTGGCCATGGTGGTTCACACCACCCTGCAAGCTGAGGCAGAAGGATTGCTGTGAATTTTAGCTTAGACCCGGCAACATAGTGAGTTCCAGGCCAGCCTGGGCTACAGACTGAGTGATCCCTTGCCTCAGCTAGGCACGAACCTAAAACGACATTGACACGAGGCATCTTTGGTACATGTCCACATGTCCACACCGTCTCACACCAGACACGATGTGGACCTCTCCTTCCCCAATGTAAAGTGATAAAATTGTCTGTGGCTTTTCCTTCATGGACACTCCCAGCCAGCTCCGATGTGGAAAGAGCTTGTCTGTCTCCCTTGCTTGCAGGCTGGAGGCTCCCAGGTCATTTTCACCAACCCTCTGGAGATTGTGAAGATTCGCCTGCAGGTGGCCGGAGAAATCACCACGGGGCCCAGAGTCAGCGCTCTGAATGTGCTTCAGGACCTGGGACTTTTTGGGCTATACAAGGTGGGTTGATTTCTTTGGCTGACTGAATGGAGAAGCTGTGACACACTATAAACAGGAAAGAATGCAGAAGCCAGATGACACCCCATCCCCATCTTGAGAAGCAGAGTGACCTATGGGATAGATAACCCAAATGAAACCAGGACCCTCGGGTAAAGGCAGGAGATATACACACGAGTGCTCCTGGTGTCATTTTTAGCTTTTATAGAGCTGCGTGCATGGCATCTCTTCATAGAACGGCTGGTTTCAGGCTCACAGCCTTCATTGTGACATTTCTGTGATACTCGGGGTGGGTTTGGTACTGCAGAGTAATCCCGTGACTAGCCTGAGTCTGAATACTTTCTTCTGTTGTCGTCCCAGGAGGGGCTTCTCCTGTCTCAGTCATCTGACCGTGGGGGGGGGCACAATGCTAGAATTGGACAGGATTTCAGTCTTTAAGAAGTTAAGTGGGAGGATTTGTCAATAATGAATTCCATTAAAAAACAACAACAGTTACTGTACTTTCACAAAACGCCAGTCAACAGATTCCTCCCCTGCAGGTACACTTACTGCCATCATTATAGATCAGATGTAATGGAGCAGAAGCCAGTATTTTTCTTTAACTAGGAGAGTATTTCTTTCCATTCCTTTCCCTGGTACAAGAGGGAATAGGGAAATTTCACCTCTATAGGGGACTGTCTTTCCACAGCATTGGATGTATTTATAGATCCATAACTGCTGAAATGTGTAAATTTACCTCTGTAACTGCAAATTAGAAATTAGGAATGTCTAGATTAGAGCCTCACAGCCCCAGGGTGCTGGGGAGCGCGGCTGCCAGGCACGTCTGTCTTCACAGAATGCCTCCACTCTGCTCCTCTCACCCACCCTCTTTGGCCTCCGTTGAGATTCCCTCGGAGAGCTGAATGCATAAATATTGGTTCTGTCTATATTACCCTGTAAGAGTCCTTGGATGTTTGTGTTGTTATAAAAACAAAGCCACCAGGGAACCCAGCACTGATGTAGCATTTGTCTGATGAGGAAACGCTTCAGGCCAGGGCTGGCATGGGTCATTGGTGGAGGAAGGTGCTCACTGCTCTGCCTGGCTGGACAGACTGTCTTTTGGATGTGGGAATGAGCAGGGAAGGCTTTGGGTGTTTTTCCCTCTACCAGTCCCCTTCTCCATTGCCTCTGGCATTCTGCCTGGTACTCCGTCGTGGCCTTGGAACTGAGATTGATTTGGTAATTTGTTAGGTTTTTTTGGGGGGGTGGGGTGGGAGGGGTCTTGGGAATCAAACCATGCATTTTGGGATCTTATTCTAATACCTCTCCTGTTTCCATTTCCACCTGGATCCCCACTCAAGCTCCCCACCCCCACCTCCAGAAAAGCTGAACAGGTCAGGCAACCTGGGAAGTCTGAGATGCCTTATGAATCCCAAGATGCCGCCTTCCTTAATGCACAGAAAGTTCCAGTTACACAGTGGCGCGTTGCAGAGACCTGCAGCAGAGTACCCTCGGAGTTAATACTGTACTCCACTTTAGTGTGATTACCACAACAGAAAACAAATTAATGTTAAAACCCCAAGTCTAGCACTTCTAGAAATGCTAGGAAGGTCTTCATTGCCAGAGTGCTGCAATCGCCGCTATTAGCCTGGATGCCCACTTGCCCTTTGAAAGCTTTCTGCCATGCTTGCTTGCTCTGTTCCCCCACCTAATTCCCCTCACATCACTACTAATGTTGTTTGAAGGACATCTCAGCTTGTCACTGGTGCCTGCCTGCCTGCCTGCTTCCCACTCGGGCATTCAAACCCCGTTTACACACTGTTTTGCACTGTTTCCTCACCGTGTGACAGGGTGCCAAAGCGTGTTTCCTCCGAGACATTCCCTTCTCCGCAATCTATTTCCCTGTGTACGCTCACTGCAAACTCCTTCTGGCTGATGAGAACGGACGTGTGGGAGGCATCAATCTCCTGGCGGCTGGAGCCATAGCAGGTAACTACAGATCTTTTTAACCAAAGAATTCTCTTAAGAAGTATACACTTTGCCCTTTATTTCTGGAAGTTATTGTTGGGATCTGACTTAGCTGGTTATAGCCGCCTCTTCTTTGTGGGATGTGCTGGGATTCTGATGAGAGTTAATTACATTTGCATAATGTGGATAAACAACTTAATGCAGCTTAGCAACTTGGAGCCAAATTAGATCTGCCCATCTAAATTGGGCTTCATCATTAACATGGTCCTTAGCCTCCTTGACTCCTGAAACCTTGGGTGCAGCCAAGGAAGGTGGAAGAGATTTTTGCCTGATCACTTGGCCCTTTGACCTAGTGCTGATGTGCAGGCCCTGCCTGCCCTTGTCCTGTAGGGAGGAATATTCCTGTTTTGGCTCAGAAGCTGAGCTTCGTGAAGCTATCTTCTTGCTGCCACGGCTCTCATTAGACCAAAGCAGCACCCCACAGCAAACTGTCCTCAGCCCTCAACTCCGTTTCATCTCTTTCTGACCTGAGTGTTCAGTCTGGTTAATGGTTGCTTGAATTGGTTTCCTCCTCTGTAGTAGGCTGAGTGCTTCTGAGGGTAGGGGTTTTGTTACGTTCCTCCTGCCTTCCCTGTGTGGCCGGCATAATAGTAGAGGCTCGGTACAAGGCAACAGATGATGGATCACATCTGGATGGATCTTCATCTGGACTAAGAAGACACCAGCTTAGGCCCAGGAGAGTCCATCAGAGAGAGGAGTCTGGCAGCCAGGAAGGGACCAAGATGCTGCTTTGGACTCACAGCGGGCGCGTGCGTGCGTGCGTGCGTGCGTGCATGTGTGTGTGTGTCCTTATTCTTGAGTTATCAGGAAACTGACTTGGAATAGAAGGGACCAACCAGGGATCTTTAGATGCAGCAACACCCTGAAATGACAGGGGAAGGAAAAGGCCTGTTTGCCTTCTCCACTGCAGTAATGAACCTGCACAGAACCTAGCATGGCCGGGACTAGGCTCCTGGTCCCTGCTTGAGTCTTTTTTACTTATGTTTTTATTTTTTTAGATAGATTTATTTACATGTGGGAGGCAGAGACAGGAAAGCTGAGTTTGAGGCCAGCCTGGTTTATATAGTGACTAGTTCCAGGACAGCCAGAGCTACATACTGAGACCCTCTCTCAAAAGACCAAAAAACAAAACAGGGTTGATATATTTTTATGTATGTGTTTGCTTGTATGTATATATGTATACCACATGCATGCCTGTTGCTGGAGGAGGCCACGAGAAGGCATCACTCCCCCTGGAACTGGAGTTACAGGCAGCTGTGAGCCATCATGGGTGCTGGGAATCAAACCCAGGTCCTCTAGAAGAATAGCCAGTGCTCTTAGCCACTGAGCCACCTCTCCAGCCCCACTGCTTGGCTCTTAATTGCTAAGTTAGCCTCTTCTGCTTACCCTAAGTATGGTGCTTTATATTACTAGTCCTGGGTTCTGAGAGTGTTGAAATGGATACATTGTTCTTGCTTGTGATGACAAGGGACAACTTGTTTTAAAAACAACCCCACCAAAAAAAAAAAAAAAAAACAAAAAAAACAAAAAACAAAAAAACACCGCCAGGAATTTGAGCCCTCATCTAGGGTGCAGCATATGCTTGGGCCTCCGGCATCTGTGATCTTGGTTAGTTGAATGAAAACTGCGGGTGAAGTTACCTGATTAACCTGGCACAAGTCCCCCAGCTCTTTTCTTGTACTCACCAGATTGTTATGAAGGGGGTAGCATTTTCCCTTCAGATTTTCCCTTGTGTTTCCTAATCGTCAGCAAAAGCAGCCAGGCCTTTGCCAGCGGGCGGCGAACCATGTACGCAGCCGCAGAACTGTGTATGTAGTTCCGGATCACACCAGCTTCTTGCTCATAGACATCTGACATGTTTTCACAAAGAGGAGAGTTTTTCTAATTATTACCAGCCAAGCTTTGCTCGAAGGTACTGAGAGCTTCTGGAGAGCTGCCTCAGAGGGCAGGCATTTTACCTCAATAGGGCACGGGGCTGATCCTAGGGGAGCACTAGCATCCTTCCCTAACAGAGCCCCCTCAGGGCCACCTGATCCATTTGCCTAGTGATAAGACAGCGATATTTAGGTCAAATTGAATTCCTTCCCCCTAGGGAAGGTCATGCTGCTCCTTCAAGATCTGATCTGTTTAATGAACAAAAGCTGTGTTTGAGAAACGCATCTTCTGTGTCTTGCTGCTGCAGCGTCTCAAGTGACCCTGGAGAGCAGAGGCACAGGGGAGGAAGAGTGAGAGGAAGAGGATGATGGGCTCCCCTGCTGCTCTTTAGCCGGGAGCCTGCCCTGCTTTCACTGGGTTGTAGTGACTTCTGTCATGTGAACACGTCCTTATCAGGGATCGGTCACCTCTCTCTTAGCACCCCAAACTTTGCTTTAGACATTCACTCCTGCAGTGTGTGGTTGGCAATAATCAGCCAAGACCACTGTGGTTTGGTGACACATACATTCTGTGACTCACTAAATTGATGTCATCTCATATATTATACGTGAAAATACTTGCACCTTATTTCAAGGTGAAAAATGTAAAAAGAGGCTGGGCAGTGGTGGTTCATACCCCTTTAATCCCAGTACTCGGGAGGCAGAGGCAGGCAGATCTCTGTGAGTTCGAGACCAGCATGGTCTACAAGAGCTAGTTCCAGGATAGGTTCCAAAGCTACACAGAGAAACCCTGCCTTGAAAACAAAACAAAACAAAACAAAACAAAAAAAAAAAAAAACAAAAAAGTAAAAGTAGTTGAAACTGGAAAGGGGACATGGGAATTGTCCTATTACTGTTATTGCATTTTTCTCTCTTTCATGGTTCTTTGGGATGGTGCAATCAAGAGATAGTTCCTTAATTCAGAGAGAAAAATAAAACATTTCCTCCCTGATTCTGCTGAAGCAACTAGCAGGCTTGGAGACATTCTCTCTTTCCACTGGTGCCTAGGTACCTGTTTATGGAGTTTTCAGTTCCCCTGTGGTTACAGCTGTGGATTGTCTTGTTGGATGTGCAAAGTCCTTTTGATGAACTAAATGTAGCTTTCTCTTCAAAGGTGTGCCTGCTGCTTCTCTGGTGACCCCTGCTGATGTTATCAAGACTAGACTGCAAGTGGCCGCCAGGGCTGGCCAGACAACATACAGCGGGGTCATCGACTGTTTCCGAAAGATTCTTCGGGAAGAAGGGCCATCAGCATTCTGGAAAGGGACTGCAGGTAGATGGTGGGGTGGGGTGGGGAGTCCTCTATGGTGGTGCTCTGGCTTTCATGTCCTGTCCTTGCCACAGCCTCCAGATGGTGGCAAGGTCTACCCTATCCTATCTGTCTTTTCCAGCTCGAGTGTTCCGGTCCTCCCCTCAGTTTGGTGTCACTCTGGTCACCTACGAGCTTCTGCAACGGTGGTTTTACATTGATTTCGGAGGCCTGTAAGTGCATCTGCCCCCCTTGCAAAGATGGCACCCAATCCAACTAGCACTTGTTCTGTTTACAGAGCCTCTTTGCTGAGAAAATGGATGCAACCGAGTCCTTTAAAAAAAAAAAAAAACCAGTGGGTGGAGAGCAATGGACTTTAAAAGTTCCCATTCCCATGTTAGAGTCAGAACTGAGTCAGACCTTACCAGAGAGACTCAGTGTACAGTATTCAACACTATTTTAGGGAGGCATCAGATTAAAATGCTATGTGAATAATTGTCTTTTTAAGTGAGAGTATGTCATTATTAGTAGGATTATTTAACAATCCAGTGTGTGGTAGTCACACTACTGAGAGATAATCATCATTCTCCATCATTTAGTGCATAAATGGTCAGACAGCTAGTTCACACACATGGACAGTGGTCCACGTGCTGCTCTGAGTCAGCATCTCTTAAGCCTATGAGTGAGTGAGTGAGTGAGTGTCTCCTGAAACCTCAGGAGGCCAGAGCTGGTGAACCAAGCATGGAGGGAGCCATACATAGAAAAGATGTAAGAACAGCAATCTTATCATCCTCCAGCACTCAGGAGGCAGAGGCAGGAAGATCTCTGTGAGTTCGAGGCCAGCCTGGTCTACAGAGCTAGTTCCAGGACAGGCTCCAAAGCAATACAGAGAAACCCTGTCTTAAAAAAAAAAGTATCATCCCATCCCATTGTACAAATACTGATGTTTGCCTTTTCTGTATCTTCAGAGAAGGACAGTAGAAGCAAGAACTAAATCTGTTTCTCTTTTAGCGATAAGCTTTAAGAGCCCACAAATTTAAGAAGCTTATAAATTATACCAATTTATATGCCTTTATGATAGATTTCACACATGCTTCCTGCATAAAATTAGAAAATAGAAGTCTACACATAGCTATCTTCCCAAAGGCATCAGTAACTGAGTTCATCTGCTCATCTTCTGTCTGAGAGTCTGCTCGTGTTTGTAAATAAACACTGGAGGCGGGACCATTTTTCTCCTATATAGGATATGAGAAAGCAGTATTGTGCTGAGGCTAGAAATCCTGTCTGATGCACAAGAGGTGACATGGAGAGAGCTGAGACAGCCTTCTTCGTGGTGTGTGGGCGCCACTGACCGTGCTCAGTGCCACCCACCTTCATGCGCCCTGAGCTCACTCTGCTTTTTTCCTGTTCACAGCAAACCTTCGGGCTCAGACCCAACACCGAAGTCACGCATTGCAGACCTCCCTCCTGCCAACCCCGATCACATTGGTGGCTACAGACTTGCCACAGCCACTTTCGCTGGCATCGAAAACAAGTTCGGCCTTTACCTCCCCAAGTTTAAGTCTCCTAGTGTAGCTGTGGCTCAACCCAAGGGGGCGGCGGCGGCGGCAGCTCAATGACACAGCAACTGCAGACCGAGGCCCAGGAGAACGGCCCTACCGTGTCCAGTCAGCTGCACGGTACTGTCTGCACTGGGGTCAACCACTTTCTATGCGACCTCTACATGTATTGTTTATAAAGTGATCATACGCCCAGGGAGAACCACAGAGCAGTTTCAAGCTTTAGTCTTTATTTGTTGAAATGTTTTCTGAGCCTTGGCATGAATTACGTGTTCTAGACTCTTGCTTCGCACAGCTTGTACCTACAGTGACTGTACATATTGTACATCTTTGTACAGAGACACCTTGGCACCTCATCCCAACAAATCACATTTATAGAAATGTATCGCAGTTCTGAGTGGCTTGAACTGTACAGAATGTTTTGAAAGTGTTTTATTAAGAATCATGTAAGAATAAATGTACTAAAGTTAAATTCATTCTCTTGGTGACTTATGGAAGCCAAGCTTCAGTGCTGACTTCAGTATCCGACTTCAGTTTGTGTTCCATTCTGGAACAGGAAGGTGCTGGCTGATAAAAGGCAGAGCCAGATGATGCTCACGGCATTGAGTAGGAAATGCCTTGGAAAGGTGTATGCCCGTGGATGCCAGAGGAGCAGCCGGTGACTTGTGTGTGCCGATGTGTTTCCAGTTGTTTGTAGCATTATGCAATCTTCCTGTCAACTGGAAGCAGCTGCTCATGTCCTCACACACGGAGACAGGGTGGGCTCCAGGATGGCTCCCTTAGCTTTGCTTTCCTCCCATGCAGCAAGGTAAAGGCCAAGATGTTGAAAGAATAAAGTTTGGACGTTTCCCTCCATATGGTATGATATGAATCAAAAATAAACGCACACCAAAATGCCTGCATGGAGTCAGTTTCCTTCGCCAGTAACCCTCATGGCGCTTTTAGTCTGATTTGTGACTCTAAGTGACTCATGGTCAAGTCTGTGCCCCTCCTACCTTAGGAAATGTAGACTTTGGTTTGGAGGGAGGGAAGGACAGCTCCTGTGTGGTGGTCTCGTGGGTCTGGGTCTTCACAGTGAGTTCAGATGGAGGTGACTTACTCAGAAAGTCTCTCACCTGGGGTGAGCTATGGCCACACTTTGCTGTGGCTGCTACTTGACAGGTGGTGACATCAGGACTTGTTTACTTTAACAAAGTGCTCTGGGAAAACATGGATGTGGCCAGTGACCAGATGTGAGGATGTGTACAGATACATGTATGATTAAGGGCAAACCTAGAGACAGGCCAAATCACCCAGTGCCCTACACAGTGCTCAGCAGTTGGTGGCTGACAGCCCCGTATCTACAACTTTGAGCTCTCTTGAACAAAAAATATTTGAAAGACATTTAAAAGCAGGCTCTTTCTGTCTTTAATTTATTCTTTCCGTCATTTCTTCCTTCCTTTCTTGGTCCCCTCCCTCCCTTCCCTCCCCCCTCCCCTTTCTCTCTTCCTTCCTTCCTTTTTTTTTTTTTTTTTTTTTTTTAGACAGAGTTTCTCTGTCTAAAACTGTCTGGAACTAGCCTTGTAAATCAAGTTGGCCTAGAACTCATAGATTCACCTGCCTCTGTCTACCAACTGCTGGGATTAAAAGTGAGAGCCACCATGCTCGACTGAAAGCTGCCTATTTCTAAATGTGTTAGATTAGTCTCTTTAGAACTGAACATATAGCATAATTGCTCTTGTTATGCTTGTTAAAAACTATACAAGTAGTCCATGAATATGAAGTTACACATATGTGTATATAGAAGAAAATGACAACATGCCCTCACTGCCTTTTCTTCAACCATCTCTTCCTGTCACTCCTTGCTGACAGGTTAGAGCATAAATTTGTGATCTGTTTTCCATATATCTCCACATGTATGTATGTATATATGTATACATTTTTATATTTAAAGCCAGGGTTATGCAATGTATGTGTGATCCTGTGGCTTGCTTTTCTTCATATGTCTCTCAGCTCTTAACATATCAGTTTATATCCCATTTCTAGTAGCTGCATAGTATTTCACTGTATGGACTATGAAGCCTTTTAAAAAGTTATTTCATTATTACAGACAACACTGTAGTTCGAGGAGGGCATCTTTGTGTGCGTATCATGAGCGACTGACTATGTTAGTATTTTATCAGGAGAGTACTAATTCATGAAATAGATGAGTTTCATATTTTTTATACATCTTGCCACATAGCTCTTCACAAAGGTCTTAGTTTCCTTTCTTTCAGGGTGCATAGATTGCCTGTTTCATAGGCAGACCATAAACAGTGGTCACTGTTATTTTCTTAATTTCTAATAGGCTTGAATAAATGCTTGGTTTGGCTTTTTGAGACAGGGTCTTACTCTTGTAACCTCAGAGTCTAGGAACTCCCTATGTAGAGCAGGCTAGCTTTGAACCTGTAGCAACCTTTTGTCTCCCCTCGCAGTTGCTGGGATTGTAGGTATGGGTGGCCCCATCTGTTCTCTTCTCATTCTTGCTGGTCATCTGTGTATTTTCTTTCTGTGTAACATACAGAAGGCATATGAAGTAATGTATGCATATCACATAGAAACATGTGCATGCATATATTAAAATAAGACTCATATGATGATCAGGACAAGAAACAGAACATACCCAACACTCCAGAAATTACCCATGCTCCTCTTCATTCTTTCCCTCTCTACCCCATCCCTGCCAGCCATTTCTTCATTTCTCTATGGTTTCACTGCTCACATTTACAAGACAAGATCTCCTATTGTAGTCCAGGCTGGCATCCTACTTGCAATCCTCCACAGTGCTATGACTATAAGCCTGGCCTACTAAGCCTGTGCAAGTGCGTATGTGTTTGTGTAAATACCAGTGTGCCAGTGCCACAGCACACGTGTGGAGATGGGAGGACAACTATGGGGAAGCAGTTCTCTCCCTCTTCCATATGGGAGCTGGGGATTTGAACTCAGGTCATCAGGCTTGTGCAGCAAGACCTTTTACCCACTGAACCATCATGTACACCCTGACTTATTTTTGACATTTGTATGAATGAAGTTATATGCCTTTGAGACTTCTTTTGCTAAACATGTTTGTAAGGTTCATCCAGAGTTTGTTCATTCTATCGTATGGATACATTATAGTTCAGTTCGTATTTTACTCTTGATTGACATTTATTTTCCCAGTTTGTGGTTATTATAGACTATGCCAATATAGGTATTGTGGCCATCTATTCTGGATTGAGCCCCTTTCTTTTTATTATGTGTGTGTGTGTGTGTGTGTGTGTGTGTGTGTGTGTGCACGTATGCACGCGTGTGGTGTTTGCCTGTACCGTGCATGTTTAAAATGACATTGGAGGCAGAGTCACAGGGTTTGTTACTCTTTATTAAGTCCTACTAAACTAATCCCAAAGATTGTACTAAGTTACATTTTCCTCAGGTGTTTAGATTTATTTATTTATTTATTTATTTTTAACTTATCCCAAAAGACAGATCATGGTAGGTTTTTGTTGTTGTTGTTGTTTGTTTTGTTTTGCTTATAACTAGAGACAAAGTTTCACAATGTAGTCCAGGCTGGTCTACAACTCATTACATATACCAGGCCGGCCTTGACTTCTGGCCTCCTTCTGCATCTGGAATGCTAGGGTTAAAGGTGTGCACTGCCATGCCTGACTATACAGTAGTTTTAATTAGCCTTTTCCTTATATGTTGGCCATTTGCATTTCATTTTTGCTGGTCTTTTGCCCAGACTCATGGGTTAGCAAGCTGCTGTTTTCCTTTTACTTCCTTTTTCCTTTAAAGATTTATCTTCTTCTCTGAGCACCCTCTGTCTTGCATGTGTGCATGCATGTGTGCATGTGTTGAGCCAGTGTGTGCATGACAGAGAGAGAGAGAGGGGAAAAAGGCAACACATATATGCCAGCACCCCCCTTTGAGGTCAGCAAGTGTGTCTGGAGCTACAGGTGGTTGTGAACAGCCCAGACTGAGTGCTGGGAACCAAACTCAGATCTTCCTCAAGGGCAGAAAGACCTTTTAACTGCTGAGCCGTCTCTCAAGCCTCAAATTCTTCATATATTTTGTATATTACTATGACTTTGTTTTACACAACATCTTCCTACTTTGTGCCTTGACTTTTTATGATGGTTTTAATACATGAACATTTTAATTTTAATGTCAAAAATGTATTGGTATTGGTATTTCTCTTAAGGCTAGGTTGCTGAGCATCTCATTTAAAAATTATTCTTTATTGTTCTGGGCATGCAATGATAGCATGCTTGCCTAGCATTCACAAGACCTCAAGCTTCACTCTTCAGAACCACCAAAAATCAAACCAAAACAACAACAACAACAAAACCTTGTAGGTGAAAATAACAAACAGATCCTCTCGTTATGCACTGAATAGTTGCCTTTCACATCCAGGTTTCATTCAGTTTGGAACTGTCTTCATGACTCTGGCATTGTGGGGTTGGCCTTTGTTTCTGCAGGCACTGTTAATTGAAAGCCTCCCTTTCCCAGATGCTCAGAAGAGGCCTCACTCCTGTTCAATAAGAATCAGCATGTATTTCTCTGTCTCTGGGCTCCTTGTTATAGGTCTCTCCTTATGCTGACACACACTCTCTTCTTACTTTGTTAATTTCTATAGCTAGTGTGACCTTTGAGAGCTATGGTTCTTGGTTCTTTGCTCTTTTTGTATATTTCATCAGCTTATAAAAAAACATTAAAAAAAAACTACTGAATCTGTAGCTGCTTTGGAAGAATTTGTATCATTGTAGTGGGGGCTTCTGATGCAGGAACATACTATATCTCTACTTAAACATTTTCGTGTCTTAATAAAAATTTATACTCACCAAAAGGGTCTTGTACACCTCTTGTTATCCGCGCTTTTAGGTACCTCATGCATTTGGATGCTATACCCAATCTGCGTGTGTGTGCATGTGTAGGTGTGTGTGCATGTGCATGGGATAGTGTGTGTTCATTTCCAGGTCTGTGTATGGTAGGCACATGGATCCCTACCCCTGAGTTTCTGTGATAGTCTCCCTGTGTGGCCGGGACTAGCTCAGCGCTCTCACTCTCCTTGACTCAGCATGCCAAGTTCTGGGAACTGTAAAAGGACACCACTGTGCCCAGCACAAGTTAGGTCTTAAAATTTTATTTCTGCCAAGCAAGAATCAAGTATTCCCCTGAACTGTAATTATTAAACATTTCAAACCCATAGAAAAGTTTGAAAGAGGAAAGTGAATTCTTTCCAACGTTCTACCCAAACCAGGTTCACTTATGTGATCTTATTTCTACTTCATGAACACACACATTTTTGCTGAGCCTTTGGAAAGGCACTTGGAGACACTGTACTTCGTCTCTCTCTCTTTGGTTTTTCGAGACAGGATTTCTCTGTGTAGCCCTGGCTTTTTTGGAACTATCTTTGTATACCAGGATGGCTTCAAACTCAGAGAAATCCTCCTGCCTCTGCCTCCTGAGTGCTGCTATTAAAGGCATATGCCAACATTGCCTGGCAAGGAAGACATTCTCTAGCTAAATAGGAGTGTGTGTGTGTGGGGGACCAATAAAGGGCTAGAGAGCAGGCTCACTGGTTAAGAGCACTTGCCACTCTTGCAGAAGTGTGGGGGTTCCATTCCCAGCAAGCAATTGCCTGCTCAGCCATCTGTAACTCAAGTTCTAGGAGCTCTTTTGGTCTACACAGGCACCAGGCACACATATAATACATTTACATGAAGGCTAAACACTCTTATGCATACATTTTCTTAAAAAATCAAGGAAGACTTCATAATGTCGGACTCAAACTTCCCTAACCATTCCAAAAGTGTCTTTGTGTTTCTGACCCAAGAGCCGATCAGAATGGCTGCATTGGGCTCAGTGGCCAGACAGTGTGATATGACTCTGATATAGT